TAGGGGGCCCCCCTGAGGGGCCCGAAGGGGGCCCTCAGGGGGGCCCCCGGGGGCCCCCCGGGGCCCCCTAGGGGCCCCGCGATCGCAGCTGCTGCTGCTACGCTGTGAAGACTAGGAGGAAAATGAGGAGACAAAGAAGGGCGAGAGCGACAAGAAGGAGACAAATGGTGGAATGTCTTTTCATAAGTTTTTGGAGCATTTTTTTGTTTTTTTTTAAATTGGCTTCTGCGGTGTCTAGGGAGCTTTCTGTGGCGTCGAGCAGTCTGCGGTGTACAGACACCTCGTCACTTATTGCGTAACTTATTTCCTTCAGATTCATCACAGAACCCGCCAAGTACGAAAGCTGCTGCTCCTGCTGCTCCTCGTCCTGCTGCTGCTGCTGCTGCTGCTGCCACCGCTGCTGCTGCGGCTGCTGCAGCAGACTCGAGCCCGACACGCTCGGGCTGGGGCCGAAGGAGCCAAAATCGTCCTAAGGAAATAAACAGTTTATAAAAATAAATTTAAAATAATAACACATAAAATAATAAAATAAGACTAAATGGTTAATGAAAACAAACAAATAACTAACAAATCAAACAATAATAAGAACAAACACTGTTCATTACTGTATATCTGTTATTATCAGCTCGTTTATTTATTGTTATTTGATATATGTATTTCTTTCATTTAGTATTCATTGAGTTATTATTACAGACTGTTTGTTTGCTTCTGTTATTTGCACAAATAAAAAAATAAATAAAAGAATAAATATATAAATATACAAATAAATAACAAGACAATATATAAATACAGGAGGCGAGAAAGATGAAGCCAAATAGAACACAAGAAGAAAAAAGGATTAAAATGAAAAAGTGGAAAAGAAGGAAAAATGAAACTGCGGAGTTGAGGTGTACGTACAGCAGAGGCGCTAGTTGGGGTGTCAGCAGTTTCTTCCAAAAATGAACTGTTGTCTTCGAGGGGGAAATCTGAAAAGTTGGAATTAAAAGATTCTTTTTTGGAGTGTCTGTACACCCCGGCTTGCGAGAAAAGCAGCCGAAAAGCCTCCAGCTGCGCGTCCTGCTGCTGCTGCAGCTGCTGCAGCAGCAGCAGCCGCTGCTGCAGCGCAGCAGCAGATAAGCCGAAGAGCTCGGGGGACTCCGACGCTCTCATAAGCGACTGCTCAAGTTGGCTGCAGCGCTGCAGCAGCAAAGCAGCAGCAGCAAAGCAGCAGCAAAACACCAGCAGCAAACAAAAGACTCAAAACAAAACTAATGCCTTTTTATCCCTCCAAGAGAGCCCCTCGTGTCCGGCCATTATTGGCTCCATTTCAGGTGTACAGACACCTGGGCGTTGAGGCTTTTGCGGCGCAATTCGTTCATGTGCTTCATTTAACATTTATTTGTCGGGTTTGTGGGTTTTATTTGGATTTATTTGCTTAGTTTATTCTCTTAATTTGCTTCTTTCTTTGCTGCTGCTTGTCAGCTGCTTTTATTTATTACCTGGGCCATTCTGGTCACATGTCCGCGCAGCACTGCTGCTGCTTCTCCTGTTGCTGCTGCTGGATCCGTGCGGGCTCGCTGCAGCAGCGAGTCTACAGTTTGCTGCAACTGTTTGAGTTTTGCTGCATCGCTGGCCCACAAATCGCACTCCATTTTGGAAAATGTGAAACAGAACTAATGAAATATGTAACTAAAACGAAAAAAGGAAAAACTGCGGAGAGGAACCGCTGGGGTGTACGGACGGGCTCTTGCGGCGCCCGGGTGTCACTACACCGGCGAGCGCCCACAGGGTCTCGAAAAAGAAATTTCACCGTCAATTAGAGTTTTATTTTTCAATGGAATCACAAAAAATGACAAGAAAATGAAATAAATGGCTTTTAAGGCAAAACGAGCAGCTTTTGAGCAACCAGCCAACCCTCATGTGTATGTACACTTGAGCCACTCAGCCCCAAACACGCACAGCGCCCTTCTGCTCACCCCGCCAGCTCTTCGCCTTCTTCATCATTTATTTGTTATTTATTATTATTTATTATTTGTTTTATTATTTATTGAAATCATGAGCAGCCTTGAAAACAAATAACAAACAATTGAACCTCCAAAGCAGCAGGCACACACTGCCGTCTTCCAGTGGTCGTGCCAGGCGATCAGTCGCGGACTCCTCTCATTTTAAAACGCAGCGATGAAATATAAATTGAAAATTAACAAAACACCTAAAAATGTTAAACAAAATAATCAAAAAAGATACAAAAGGGAACCAAAAAAGATCAGAAGACAAAAAAGCGACTGTCAGCTGCAGGGGGAAAAAGAGCAGCTTGTGTGGAAATGGCCCACAAACAGTCGGGTGTATCTGCTGCAGCAGTTCTCTTTGCATTAATTCCAATATCTGAACATCCAATTAATGTCAAATTAAATATTTGTTATATACTCAAATATTTATTTCTTTTTGCTGCTGTTATCTATACTCGTCCAACCCTGCTGCTAGAGGCCCTGGATGCAGCTCAGCCAGGTAAGTCCTTCTGCCTTTACACACTGCTGCAGCTGCTGCAGTAGCTGCTGCTGCTGCAGCTGCTGCAGAAATTGCAGCTGCTGCAGCTGCCGCCTGTGCTGCAGACGACGCAGCTGCTGCTGCGGTCTATAAATATTGTAAAAAAGATATTATATAAATTTGTTTTATCTAAATTTTTATATGCTGTTTGTTGCAGGTAGATGTACATACACCGCATTCGCACTGTCTGGAGGTGCAGCAGAAGCATAAAGCAGCGAAAGCAAATAAAGATAAAATAAAATTGAAATGATTTGTCTTTAACTCTATTTGCATTTTATTTTATTTGAAGCTCTTCAATGAGCTGCTGCAAAAAAGCAGAAAAGGAAGCTGTTTGCGTAAGAATAAATTAAAAAGAAGAAAAGAATAAAGTTAAACGGAACTGAAAATGAAATAAAGCCTCAGACCTTTAATAAGATGGATTCATAAGAATGAAAAATTACATTTAATTGAATTAATTTACTCTTTTTGCACTTTTCAATTCATGGCCATAAAGCTCAGTAAAGGGCGCAGCAGATTCAATTACTGCAACAGCTTGCCGCTAATTATTGCTATGATTTAGAGTTTACTGTTAAGGGTTTAGGGTTTAGGGTTTAGGGTTTGAAGTTAATGCGTATCAACTTTACTCTTATTTTGCTTAAGAGAAGCGTAAGAGGGAACAGTAGCATCTGGGTGCACTTCCCTTCAGCTAAGTTCAGGTGTACGTACACCCCAAACGCGCGCTAACGCATCCCCAGCAGCCAGTTATTAATAAATAATAATTCTTTTTTTAACAAATGTGGCTCAAAGCTAATCTTTTATTTTTAAATTTACTTCTTTAGCAGGTTTATTAATTGCCCATTCATTTTGATTTCTGTACTTGTGTACTGCTAATTGCCTTTCCTTGTGTAAATACTCACGCAGTCTTGTACATAATTTATAAATATTTTTATTTTCTTGTTTTCAACGCAAAAAACGCTAATTAGCAGCCAAACCAGCAATTGCTGCTATAGCCAGAAGCTTATGAGCAGTGTATGTTATCTTGTGCTTTAAACATTCAAGTTTGAATTAATTTATCTGTTTCCCGCCGCCTGCTGCTCTGCAGCCATCTGCAGCAGCGGCTGCAGCAACAGATGGACAGTTAAATGTAAATAAAACCATTTAAAAATCGAAAAAGTGATTTAATAAGTTATTCATTTCGTGAGAGGCTGCAGAGCTGAGGTGTACGGGCAGCTCAGCCTCCGCGTACTCAATGAGGGTCACTCCGGCGGTTCCCTGATCGCTCGGGCTTTTAAAATAAGTTAATTGTCTAAGTTAAATGATATAATTCAATTTAATTGTAGTTAGACTAAATTAAATCACTCAAATTTTGTTTGTGTTTCCAGTTTTGACCCTCCGAGGCGCTGCCACCCGCGGGGGTCCACTGGAACTGCCTGGGGGTCGCGAGCAGAGGCCAGCTGTGAGCCTCGGGCCACGATAAGCCTCTTAAAGAGAATTAATCGGAAAATAAATGAAAACTTTGAATTAATTTCATTAATTAATTCAATTATGAAGAACTGGGACTCGATTCGCAGATAAGATGCGATAGGCAGCAGCAGCCGCAGTGTGCAGTGCACGGCAGGTGTAGTGACACCCGAGCCCGGCCGTGGCTGGAGCGGCCGCTGCTCCTCTAAACCCTAAAGGCCTCTTTTTGTTAATTAATAAATGAAACTAATTCAAATTATAAACACACTTCAGCCCTTTAGGCAGCTGCTGCGCGGTCGAGCCTGCCAGGCTTGTGCAGGGGGAGCTGCTGACCATCAGCGGGTGTTCTGGCCTCTAGGGTTTAAGGTTTAGGATTTAGGGTTTAGGGTTTGCCCTCCAGGCTCTTCAGGACTCATTCTCAATCCTTCAGGAATTCATATACACCTTTACGCCGGGAGAAAGCTGTGTCTACAGTAGTGGTTAACCACCGCTACGAACCCTAAACCCTAAACCCTAAACCGTAGACCAAAGCTTTGAACCCTTGCGACAATGGTTTCGTTTCTAAGCAAACCCAAAAAGGCTTTCGACCTGGACCCTTCAGTCGCCCCGGAGGCACTCGTCCTGGTGATCCTAAACCCTAAACCCGAGACACTGAATCCTAAAGCCTAAACCCTAAACCCTAAACCCTAAAGCCTATGAACAAACCCATACTTCTAAGCTTTGCCTTCTGTTTTCATTCCAGCTGTGTTCTCGCGCCCACTCCAGTATGCGGCCCTTGTGTGTTTCCCTGTCTTTTCAGCTGGGTTTAGGGTTTAGGGTTTAGGGTTTAGGGTTTGTGAGCAGGGCATGACTGTGTGGTGCGACTCTGCCCCTAGCCTGCTGGAAAACCCCTCATGTCTTTACGCCAAATGTACCGTTTTGGATATCATAAATAACCAGACAGTTAAATTAAAGGAAATTTCCGAGCCTGGCAAAGAGGTTAGCCCCGCTGCTGCTGCTGCTGCTGCTGCTGCTGCTGCTGGTTCTACTGTGTTTGGATGGCTGCTGCTGTTTTTGATGCGACTGCTTCCACCTCTGTTCCTGTCTCTGCTGCTGCTGCTGTTGCGGGTGTTTGCGTGTGGCTGTTGCTGCTCTGTGGTTTGCTGTTTCTACAAGTGCTGCTGCTGTTGTTTCCCTGCTGCTGCTGCTTCCCTGCTGCTGCTGCATCCCTGCTGCTGCTGCTTCCCTGGTGCTTCCCTGGTGCTTCCCTGGTGCTGCCTCCCTGCCGCTCCTGCTCCTCTGCTGGTGCTGCATCTTTGCTGCTACTGCCTTTTTGCTGCTGCTCCTTCTTTGCTGCTGCTGCTTCCCTGCTGCTTCCCTGCCGCTTCCCCGCTGCTGCTCCCCTGCCGCTGCCGCCGCTGCTGCTGCTGCTGCTAGTGTTTGCTGCTGCTGAGGCCTGTGTTGTGTTGCGAGCAGTTTGTCTCGAAGCCCTCTCAAATATACCACTGCAGCGAGAGCTGCGATTTGCTGAACACTCCAGATGTGGGTCTTTTGCCGCACCCAAATGCTGCTTCAGTGCTGGAGATGCTGCGGGCCCGTTACATGCAAGACGCCATTTACGTGAGCAGCAGCAAGCAGCAACGCACTGCAGCAGCAGCAACACACTGCAGCAGCAGCAAAACACTGCTGCAGCAGCTGCTGCGCGCAGCAGCTGTTGCTGCGGCAGATCGCAGCGCGAGCAGCAGCAGAAGGAACTAGAGCAGATACTGCGGCAGCAGCTGCTGCGGCAGGCCGCAGCGGGTGCAGCAGCAGAAGAAGCTAGAGCAGATATAGGCAGCAGCAGCTGCTGCGGCAGGCCGCAGCAGGCGCAGCAGCAGGAGTAGCAGAGCACAGTCTGAGTCAGCCGCCACAGCAGCAGCATCCGGCATCGGGAGCGGTAGCACAAGAACGAAGAATAGCTAGCCACAGCCGCAGCAGCCACAGCAGCAGCAGCAGCAGCAGCAGCAGCAGCGGGAAGGCGTCTGCGGGAGTGGGTGTTGCGTGCGGGTGTGGGTTCAGACGCTCGCGGACCCTCTGCTGATATCGATAAACCCTTTTGGGTGGTCTGGAAGTTCTTTAAAAGAAAAGATCCGGGACTACAGTGCGGCAGCAAACGGGGGTTTGCTGCCGCCGCACATCTTCTCCATTGCCCGCAGGGCCCTCGAAAACGCCAACACTGCAGCAAAGAGCCAAACCATAATTGTTTCGGGGGAGTCGGGATCAGGCAAGACGGAGGCGACGAAGCTGGTGCTGAGTTACTTGGCTGCAGCGCAGGGCGACCCCGAGCAGCAGCAGCAGCAGCAGCAGCAGCAGCACGGTGAGCCGAGCTGCTCTCGCTCCAGTCTGCTGCTTTCGAAACTAATGAACAAGTTCTTCTTTTAGAGCTCTTTAATCTTGATCCACTTCAAGGGATTCTTTTCGTTTGTTTCTTTTTGCTTTATTTGCTTTTTCGGCCCAGCTTTTGTCCGGCTGTTGCAGTTTATAGTGAAGCATTTTTGCTGCTGCAAGGCATTTGCATAATATTATTATTTGTCACAAATGATGACTGCTTTTATTTGCTTAATGATAATTGCGCGATTTCCGTAAACTTTTGCCTTTTTTGGCATAGTCATGCAGCAGTTTTTGTTTTCTAAGCCCGGCAGAAACTGCAGCAGCAGCAGCAGCAGCAGCAGCAGCAGCAGCAGCAGCAGCAGCAGCGGCTCCTGGCGCAGCAAGTCTTGCCTAGGACTTCCTGCTGCTTCCTGCTGCTGCTACTTCCTGCTGCTGCTGCTTCCTGTTATTGATGCTTCCTGTTTCTGCATTCCGCTCTTGCTGCTTGCTGCTGCTGCTTGCTGCTGTTGCTTGCTGCTATTGCTTCCGTCTACTGCTTCCTGCTGTTGCTTCCTGCTGGTGCCTACTGCTGCTGCTTCCTGCTGCTGCTGCTGCTTCCTCCTGGGGTTTCCTCTCGGGTTTATTCCCCTCTGCGCCTTTCGTGTAGTATTTGTTTCTTCTGTTTGTTGGTGGGGCTGTTATGTCCTTTTATTTGATAAATACTTTTTCTGATATTTTCTTTTTTTCCTTTTATTTATCGCTCAACAAATGTATTATGTATAAAAAGGAATTCAAGTAGCTTTTCTCTTTTTTGTTTACTTGTTGTGTTTTTGTCTCTTGTTTACTTGCTTCGTCTCCCCCTTAGTCCAAATCCGCTTCGCCCTAAACCTTAAACCCTAAACCTTAAACCCAAAACCCTAAACCCTAAATTTTTGCGTCTTCGCTTCTTTCTAAGCATGCATTTGCGGTTGTCTGCTTTCTACACTTCTGAGCAACCAGCAAACCCTAAACTTTAAGCCCTAAACCCTAAACGTTAAACCCTAAACGCTAAACCCTGTTGCAAATGATTTGCTGCAACTGGCGCTGCAGCAAATGAAGCCAAAGTCGAAAACGCCGTCACTGCAGCAGGACCTGTTTTGGAGGCTTTTGGAAATGCGAAGACTGTGCTGAACGACAACAGCAGCAGATTCGGGAAGTTCCTCAGGCTCGAGGTAAACCCTAAACGCTAAACCCTAAACCCTAAACTCTAAACCCTAAACTCTTAACGTAACACCTAGGCCGTTAGCATGAAGATAAAAATCGAAGCGCTCATCCCTAGATCCAAAACATGAAACACGACGGAGGCTTGGTTCACCAAATTCAGCAAATCAAACCCTCGACCCCAAACCCCAAACTCCAAACCCTAAACCCTAAACCCTAAACCCTAAATCGTATGCAGAGAATAAATCCTGGTCTCCCTAACGGTACAGCCTTGGTCACAAACCCTACACCGCCACAACCCTAAGCCCTTAAGCCTGAGTAAGGCTCCAAACCCTAAAGCACAGCTCACAGTCCGAGACTCTGGAGCTGAAATCTCTCCTAGGATTTAGTGTTTTAGTGTTTAGGGTTTAGGGTTTAGGGTTTAGGGCTAAGGTTTAGCGGTGTTTCTGGGATATCTGCAAGCGATTGCAAATGGACACTAGAAATGGAGCATTTTAAACCAGTGCCAATCGTAGAAAGGAAAGAAAGAAAGAAAAGGAAGCGCGTTTAGGATTGTGTAGTAGGGGTTTAGGGTGTAGGGTTTAGGGTTTTGGTAATGGGTGCTTCACTTCACCTAGCAGCAGCAACAAGTTCTAAGTTGCTGCAGCCAGTCACTCCCCAAGTGTGCTGCAGTGGCGTAGCAGCAGCATCAAAAGTCCATAAGTGTCTTTTTTGTTTTGTTTTCTTTTTTGGTCTTCTCTGCATGCACACCTGTCTATAAAAACCATTAGTTTGTTGACTTTTTTATTTTTCCAAGTCTTTGTTGTTAATTCTCTTAAATTTGGAGTTAAAGGCGCTCCAATTCCTTCAAATGAAGGCCTCATTTAGCCAAGAGTGGTTTCGTTTTTGAAGCAAATTGTCTTCAACTAATTTCAAAGTGGAAATCTAACTGAGTCCAGACACCAGCCTGAAGTTCCTAAATTTGATATTCTTTTTTTCTATTACTTCGATATTTTGACCTCAAAATGCCTTGAAGATTTCTCTTTTCATTTTTCTGTTTTTAAAAGCCCTAAAGTGCAGCCTGAAGCTTGTGATGCTGCTTCTCTGCTGCTGCTGCTCCTTAGGAAGCAGCAGAAGTATGAAATGCTTTTAATGATTTTTTTTTTTGCTGCTCTGCTGCAGGTGGCCCCCGGGGGCGGCATCGGGCGAGGCCACGTAGAGAGTTTTTTGCTGGAAAAGTCTCGGGTGGTTTTTCACGGCTGCGCAGAACGCAATTTCCACATCTTTTACCAATTAATTAAAGGAGCCTCTGCAGATTTGAAAGCCAAATTGAAACTCAAAGAATGCAAAAACTACAAAATCCTCAACTACCAGGCGGTGGACATACACCAGAGGGTGCGCACCGCCCCGCGGAGGCCCCGGAACTCTGTTCCTGTTTTTCGCTTTTTTCTAGGGTTTTGGTTGAGGGTTGAGGGTTTACGGTTTAGGGTTTAGGTTTACGGTTTGAGATTCAGGGTTCAAGGCTTCGTGTTTGGGCTTCGAACTCAAGGGTTTAGAGTTTAGGGTTTATGCTGGTTGCATGCAGGATGACGCAGCAGACTTTCTTGAAGTCCTCGCGGGCTTCGAGTCCATGGGACTTGCTGCTGCCACTGCGCAGTCTGTTTTCTCGCTTTTATCTGGAGTGCTGCTAATGGGAAACATCAAAATAGAACAAAGGCATTTGGACGGCTTGCCGGACGCAGCAGCAATTTGCGAAGAAGACAGAGCAGACTTCGAGGTGAAAAGCGGGGAAAACCTGCACGAATTAGGGTTTAGGGTTTAGGGTTTAGGGTTTGGCACGTGGTTTTCGGCAAAGGCTGCTGTTGAGATGTGCCGGTGCTACACGTAGATGATAGTCTACGAAATTAGTTTAAACTGAAATAGAGGAAGACGCAAGAGGTGTTGAAAGGCCTTCAAATATTATCTACATGCGTAAAAGCTTTTGTGTTGTTGCAGCAAGGCTGCTGGTGCTTGTCTAGCATATTCATGTGCCCCCAAATAGATGCAAAATGCCTTTGAATGAGTGCAAAGGTGCATGCGGAGTTGAGTCTTTTAATTCAAGTTCACAAAAGTGAAGAAAGGGTCTTTCCTGCTGCAGCAGCTTCCTAGGACTTTTGCAACAGCTCTATAAGCAAATGAATACATGCAATATTACTTGGCAGGAAAGAGTGTCATTTCTGCTGCAGCAGACATGCCAGCACTCTTCTAGATTCATGTTCGCATTGCATGCATGTAGATATGGCAAACTGTACATATTAATTTGAATTTTCTCGCAAAAGTGCGCCTTTTCTGCCGCAGCGAGTCTGCTGCCATTTATCTAGTGCAGTGTATTAATGCAACCACACGAATTCGCATTTTCACCTGATCCAATGGCGTCTTCCGCTGCAACAAGTCTGCAAATGAATAAATAAATAGATATATATATATATAATACATAAATAAATGAATATAGATGATTAAGTATATATATACAATTTGTTCACGTACTGAAAACGTGTGTTTGCTGCTGCAGCAAGCTTGCGAGCTGCTGTTCCTGGAAGCCGCAGGCGTTGAAGAGGCGCTACTGCGGCGGGTGACAGTGGCGGGGGCGCAGGCGGTGGCTGGGCGGTGGCGGCAGCAGCAGGCGGAGCTGCTCCAGCAGTCTCTGTGCAAGGGCGTTTACGAGCGGCTTTTTCTCTGGATCAACAAGCAAATCAACAAAAACATCAACAAACAACAAAGCCTCGACACCTTCATCGGTGTGCATCCAGCTAGCCAGCTAGCTAGCTAGCCAAGTAGCCAGCTAGCCAGCTGGACAGATATCCAGATTGCCAGGATAGCCAGCTAGCCAGCCAGATAACCAGCTAGCTAACCAGCCAGCTAGCCCGCCAGAGGAAGACTTTAAAGGTAGTTAACGGCGCAAGCGGCAATGTAGGCGAGAATATATGGATGTATGCATGTATTCTGCCAAGTGTAGATGCAAACATACATTTATGTGCAAACATTCATGTATTTCTCCATATGCTTTTTTCTATACGTACATTTGCATATTTCTAAATATCTATGTTCAGACCCTAGAAGGACATCATCGGCTTTTAATGCATGATTTGCTTCTCGTTGTTCCCCGGCATTTTTGCAGTGTGCAGGGCGGCATCCCTTTGTACAAGCGCAGATTCAGATGCCTTCATTGAATTCCCTTTGGAAACTAAAGCCCAACTGCATTTGCTTTCATTTCCACTTGCAAGCAAATATTTTATGGGGCGTTTTGGCACCATGCAAGCACAATATTCATTTATCTGTAAAAACGCACTTCATTTTCCAATTGCGTGCAAAGTGCGGCGCGGCCCGCCGGGTTGATAGACAAATGAACAAACAGAGAAACTAATTGGATTCTTTTTGCAGATCTTTTCTTTCGCAGGCCTACTCGACATATTCGGTTTTGAAATTTTCAAAGAAAATTCGCTTGAACAGCTTTTCATCAATGTGACCAACGAGATGCTGCAGGCCACCTTTGTAGACCTAGTATTCACAAGGGTAACGCCTTAAACCCTAAGGTCTGAACCCTAAAACTCGTATCATACACCCTTATCCCTAAATCTTCAAACTTAAACCCTAAACCCTAAACGCTAAACCCTCGTCCCTAAAGCCTTGCCCCTAAGCGCTAAATTGTTTCCCTTATCCGTAAGCAATGAATTGTTTGTGGCCATGTGGGCTTTCGCTGCACCCCAGAAGCACACATGGCAGGCGTTAAACCCTAAACCCTAATGCCTGTGCGTTTCAGGAATGCCTGTTGTATGAGAAAGAGGGATTGACTTCAGAGCTGCTGCAGTTCGAGAGCACTCAGCCAATTGTTGATTTGCTTTGCGGAAAGAAAAACTCCATTTTGAGCATTTTAGAGGACTGCTGCCTTGGCCCGGCTACCTCAGACACCAAGTTCACTGCGGCAGTTAAGGCGCAAATCAAGAGTAAGTTGCAGGGTCTAGGGTTTATACTTCAGGTTTTGGGGTTTCGAGTTCCGGGCTTATGGTTTAGGAAAACATTACCTGAAACATGCACGCGCATACGCACGTATATGCATTTCCTACACTTCATTTTCTTTCCATAAGCCCTTACTCTGCTGGTTAAACTATGCGAGCATCTGCTCATGCACATGTATCTGTTTATCTGTTGATTCGCATTTGTAAGTCAATATTTTTATCTGTCTCCATCAGTAGGAAGAACTGCATCTGGTTCTTATATCCTTCAAAAAGGGCGCCCTTCGGTTGGGTTCGTGAAAGGTGCATTCTTGTATTCATGAACTCCTTTGTATTTCTCGAGGGAGGCCTCTGTTTGGTTATTTAATTATGTTTGTCGAGGGAAACCTCTGTTTGGTTTGATTTAATTACGTTTGTTTTGCATTTTTGTGCGTCGTTCGTGTCTTCTAGGATCGGGGAACAAGGGTTTCCTCCGGCCTTCTTCTGACCTGGAGTTTACGGTGCGGCACTGCATAGGAGACGTTTCTTACATGACTTTCAACTTCATAAAAAAAAACAGAGACCAGCTGCGGCCTGAGTTTCTAGATCTGTTTAATGCCTCCAAAAACCCGGGTGAGACTTGGCGGGCTGCTGCTTTTGTTTACATGTGTCAGGAGTTGCTGCTGCTGCAGTCATGTTGCTATCCATTCACGGTTGGGTTCCTTCTCTGCGCTTTTCTTTTTAAAACCCCATTTTGCTCTTTTCTTTGCCCTTTTGTCGATCGTTGCGCTTATTCTTCTGTCTTTCGCGCTGCTGCTGCGTGCTTTCCCAGCTCTCCCAAGCACGATTCAAGCCACAGCCTGCACAGCGTTTCACCATGTGCATGAGGAAACTTGGCTTTGCCAGTTGATTCTTTGTTAAACGCTACGTTTTGTGTGCCCTTTTGTCGTTTTAACGGAGCCAGTGCCTTTTTGGTCTGTTTACCCGCGGCAATCAGCAAACAAGCAAATCCATAAAACGAAACTGCAAATCCTAGAGCAGATTCGAGAGCAGGCCGTTGATGCGAAACAAATCCGAGCACAAATGGTTTTGCATGAAATTCGAATGCAATGTGTGAACCTCAAAGCTAAGACGCAAAGCAGGAAAGACTACAAGCAAAGCCAAGAAATGGAAGCGTTAAGAACATGGCAGCAGCGAGAAATATATTTGCTTTGTCGGTGGTGCGTTTTCACTTAGTTGCTTCTCAACTGTATCAAGATGTGGAAATCCCAAAAGGCAAACTTATGAAGGGACAACTAATCGGGTCTCAATTCATGCAGCAGCTTAATAGCCTAGCAGCGATCATCCAGGTACTGCTACTGCCGCTGCTGCCATTGTTAATGGCGGTGGAGATTCGGCCGCTGCTGCTGCTGAGGGTGCTGTTGCTGACGGTGCTAATGTTAACGGTGCTGCTGCTAACGGTGCTGCTGCTGCTAGTGTTACTGGAGGCTGGTGTCGTGCTGCTGCTGATGACGTCTCTGCTGTTGCCATTGATGCATAGCGGTGAGGTTGCTGCTGTTGATGCCATCGCTGCTCTTTCTTGTGATGGTGGTGCTTCTGCTGCTGTGATTGATTAGTGCTTGCGACAGTGGTGCTGCTACCGCTGGTGCTGACAATAGTGCTCCCGTTGCTAGAATGTTGCTTTCCAAGCTTCTGCTCCTAGTGGCGCCGTTTTGCTGCTGCTAGGGATACTTATATTTCTGCTGCTGCGTTTTCGCTCATGTTCAAGTGCACTGCTTCCTTTTCCTTTAATATTGAGCCCAATGCTTAAGCGCTACGCCTTAAACCCTGACTCCTGACTCGTAGCTCTAGACCGTAAACCCTGATTCTGTTTTTTGTGCTTGTCTGCAGGAGACAGAACCCCACTTTATTCGCTGCATAAAACCAAACGACCAGCAGCAACCAAAGCTCTTTATCGAAAGTAAAATCTTGCCGCAGCTAAGGGCTCTCTCTATCATGGAGGCCATCCAACTTCGAAGCGTTGGTTACTCCTACAGGTAGGGCTTGTGATGTCGCGTCTCGGGCTTAGGAAAAAGGAAATTCTAGGGGCAGCGTGACATATGACATATGTCTGCAGCTGGGAAATAGTCAGCAGAGTATGCTTAAGGTGCTTAATGGTAATTCGTATATTGTGAATCGGAAAATACCTCCAAATGGCTATATCGATGCGCATGAATATATTACGATTTCATGTAAATAAAAATTCTCGTGTCTTATAGAAACACCGTCATATGTATGAAGCATAGTGGATACCTGCATATGCATGCACATAAACATGTGTTTGAGCGATTAGATGGAGGCTTATTTGGTGCGTGCTTCTATTGACACAGCTGGAGCAACGCCACAGTGTAAGCATTTCGTCTAGCTTTTGTGTACTTTCCAATAACTTCTTGAGTTTTGGAACTTGTCACCTTGTGTTTACCCAGGCGCCCCTTCGCCGACTTCTTGCGGCAATTCCGCTTTCTGAATATTTCAGCTTACGGAAAAATTGCAGGAGGCCTCCTTGGAAGTTCCACTGCCGAAGGGGCCCCACGTGAGGGCGCGTTAGCCTTGTTGCAAAGGGCTGGACTGAAGGAATATAAGGACTACAGAATGGGTTTGACCATGGTTTTCCTGACTCGAGAAGCGCAACAGCAGCTGCTGCAGCAACAGCGGGAGCAGCTGCTACTGCTGCGGCCAATTGTTCGCACTCTGGAAGCTATCTGCCTCCGCAGGAATCTTAAAAAGAGTTTGGAGACCCACATTAATTCCATTGTGCGGCTGCAGGCTCACGTGCGGCGGCAACTTCTGCTGCTCGAAATGAGGGGCCACAGCGCTGCTGCAGCAACTGCAGCAGCAGCCGCAGCAGTAGCAGCAGCAAACGAAGGTGTCAGCAGGCAACAAACCGCAGTCTAAAGGCATTAGAGGCAAACAGACTAAAGCCCGGGAGAAATGGGAGTGTCATGACAACCATGGAAAGTTCAACATGTCTATATAAATGGCAACAAATTAAATGTCGTTAACAGCAAAAAAAACTGTACGAGGAATTGCAGCAGCAACGCCGCAAAAAGGCGATGAGAGCATTTAAAATCCGACAAGAAGTCAGTAAGACCTCACTTGTAGATTTTTTCATAATTTGTAGTTTTCTCATTATTCGCCTGTCTCTCTTTTTGTATGAACATATACATCTACGCAGATTTGCATCTCCACAAGTATGCGTGCGGCTATGCCTATAAATGTATGTATGTATATTAAGCATATGAGTATACATAGTACGTACACAGATGGAGACGTCCATTTGTACATACGTGTATTTACTCAGACTTTCAACTCGACTGTTTATGTATCCACACATTTTCGCTTGTATTTAAGTACTAGGATTCTACGGTAATGCATCTGTATGCTTTCATGCATCGAAACACAGGTAGATACGCAGCACCGTTCAACGCCTGAACAGAGACTGAACGATGCTCAGTAAGGATTAAATCTCAGCATTCGCATCAATCTAAAGTCAACCCGCGCAAATACAGCGTCGAGAAAATGGGGCCTGCGCCAACTTGTTTAGTTGTCGCGGCTTTACTGTTGCCGTCCGCTTGAAGCGTTGGCTGCCCAACTGGGAAACACACTATTGGACGCACTATTGCCTCTGCGCAGAATCAGGTGAATACGTCGTTTGTTCTGTGCCTCCAATATCAACAGAAATTTCAGCAGAAAGTTCGTCGAAAAACATTAAAAGTATGTAGAGACAGTCAATGTGCCTGAAATCGGCCCTAGTGTTGAACACATTTGTTGATACCCCTTTTCATAGACCAGCCCCACATAAGTGCAACACTGCCGCTTGCATCATGTCGATTTACGCAACTCCATTAAGACTGGCCGCTGAGCGCCGCTTTGCAAGTTCAGTATTCGGCAACTGCATGCCATTTTCGCCGGCTGAGTTTGCAAGTCCAGTATTGGGCAACTGCATGCCATTTTCGCCGGCTTCTTTGTTGCCTACGCACACCACGACCCAGCCCACACCCCAAGACGTCTCGGTCGCCGAAATGACCTAGCCGTAACACGAGTCACATGCCAACAAACAGTACGCCTAGTATTGGGTAGCTGCATGCCGCTCCCGCCCGTCCGTTCGTTCTCAACGCACACTACAACCCAACCTACACCGCAACTTCAGTAGAAACGGAAGTTTGAGCCCTCGGAATGACCAATCCGTAACACTCGTTACACACCCTCAAATAAATGAACTACACTTCGAGGACAACACACTGCGGGGAGTTGCTTGGAGGATCTGGGGATGTGACCGCCCGCCATTCCAAACGATGGCGTCTCGGCTCTCCAACTGCACACCAATTTTGCAAAGCTTCAAAACTGGGAGCGCCACACATTAAAAAAACCCGAAAGCACCAATGTAAATGAACTGGACTGCCTGATGACCAAAAGCTGAGGAGAATGCGAACCATTCAGCACCCTGGTGCTTCCCTGTGGGCTGGCCCTCATGATCCCCCAAGTGCTTGAGACGGGAATCGGCATCCGCAGCGAGACATTCTCGGGGAAAAGAAACAATTCAATACCTTATGAATTGTTCTATGAATACTTTGAGGATGCGTCACTGGCATTTGTTCGGGGAGGTGTACTGCGTCGCCAGCCCCAAACGGAGTTTGATTTTGGGGGTAAACCCAACCTCGTCAGTGCAAAAGCAGAATAAAAGCACAGGTGTGCAAAATTTTTTTGAAAAAGATTTTACTGAAGCCTTAATTCCTGGGGCAGGAGTAGGGCTTGGGCATTACAGATTGGCATACCTGAGTTCCGGGCTTGGGAGTCTCGAGACGTGGCTGTCGAAACGTGGCTGTTTCGCCGTTGAGTTGATTTAGGGTTGGGGTGTGTGGTGGGAAATCTTGGTCTTGTTAGTTTCTTTCACGTTGAGACATTGATTCCTAGAGCAGGAATAGGGCTGGGGCATTAGAAATTGGCGTACCTGAGTTCCCAGCTTGGCAGTCTCGAGGCTTAACTGTTGTGTCGTTGAGTTGGTTGGGGGTTGCGGTGTGTGGTGGGGAGTCCTGGTTTTGCAACTTCCTTCCACGCTTTTTCCCTAATGAGTGGTGGACTTTTCTCGCTTGAAATGATATAGAGTCAAGGAAAGAAGCAGTTGCTGGAGCGGGCGTTGGGCGTTGCATGGACGTGAAGAGTGTGGTGTCGGTCGGGCACTTCGCGGCGAAGAGGTTGAGAAGGGAGTGCTTTTGCGAGGCCTAGCTTTCTTGGAGGCAGAGAAGAGGGATTGTTGAGCATTGTGTGGTGTGGAAGGGCGAAAGACGGAGGGAGGAGGGGATATATCTTCTTCAGTGCGTATTGAGGAGAATGTGGAGGGAGGGCGTTACTGGCGGGGTTGAAGGTGGAGGAAGAGGACATGTTTTGGTGTGAGGGGTCAACAGATGAGAGTCGGCGGCGCATGGAAGAGAAGGGGGGGTGGTGAGGAACTTTTTTTCGAAACGGTTCCGGCAGCTGAGGAAGGGAGCGGTTGGTGTGTGTTACGCCAGTGGGACAGCTGGATGGCAAGAAAGGCGGTAGTCCGTCATTTGTGACCAGTTGTGCGTGGCGAGCCTCCGCCGTCCTTTCTGGTGCAGAAGGAAGGGACAGGTTGTTCTCGTTGGTCAGGATGTGTGCTTCACCTGTTTGTCAGAGAAGCGTGTGCTGACCGCGGGAGGACGGAGTTATGGAGTTTTGGGGGCCGTGTGGGCCGTGGAGGGCGGTGATCCTGGGTTATTGGGATGTAGAGGACCTGTGGAGAAGCGCCGCTCGTGGGTCTGTTGGTTGGAGAAGAGAGTTTGTGGGTGTTGTACTGGTGCGTTTTGCAGAAGAAATGATGTGGGGGAGCAAGAAAGGGCATGACAGGACACGTTGTGTAGGTTGTGCCTCCGCGTCTCCATTCTCAGTTAGGGAGGAGGGGTGGTGGGACAGCCTAGCAAGGTGTTTGCGTGCTGGTTGGAGGTTGTTTGCTTCTTCTTGTTTTGTCTGCGGTGGTATCAGTCGGCTGCACTGGATGCTTCGTAAAGGGTGCGGGGAGCACTGAGGATCAGGTGTTGCTGATGGGACAGCATTGCAGACTACGCGTGGAGCGAGCGGCCGTTCACTTTGGGGTGGTGAGTGTGTTGGTGAAGATGATTGGGCGGCTGAACCATACGCAGATGGTGTGCAGAGTTGCGCTTGCGTATATGGAAGCTGCGGCAATCAGGGTAGTCTCTTCTTGACAGAATCATGTTTGGAAGAAGCCAAATGAAGGGTTAGAGGTAGGGCTGTGGGGCAGTAGTCACGCAGCGTGTGGCGACAGTGCTGCATGCAGCGTTGTTTGTCCTGTTCCTCTCATCCTCAGGCCATTGGTGTTTGGCTTTGGAAGGAAAGAACATGATATAGAGGCCCTCCGTCTGCTTTTCAGTCGATCGGCAAGAGGGTTGTCTCTCTCCGCGTCGCCTGTGGGTCCGTCGCTACCGGTCTCTTAGTGTCCCTTCTCCTCTGTAATTGGGTCACATCGACGTGACCTTGCTGAGGAGGAGTAGGCATGTAAGAGTGTAGGGGTGGAGACGCATGCGGGGGAGGGAGCGGCGTTTTTTTGTCTCTTGTTTGGTCGAAGGAAGGCGTTGACGACAATAGCAACCTGGTTGATCCTGCCAGTAGTCATATGCTTGTCTCAAAGATTAAGCCATGCATGTCTAAGTATAAGCTTTTATACGGTGAAACTGCGAATGGCTCATTAAAACAGTTATAGTTTATTTGATGGTCTCATTTTACATGGATAACCATGGTAATTCTATGGCTAATACATGCGCAAAGGTCACCTCCTTTGGAGGGGCTGTGTTTATTAGATACAAAACCAACCCACTTTGTAGTGGAGTCTTGGTGATTCATAGTAACCGAACGGATCGCAGTTGGTTCTTTTGGGCCCGCGATGGATCATTCAAGTTTCTGACCTATCAGCTTTCGACGGTAGGGTATTGGCCTACCGTGGCAGTGACGGGTAACGGGGAATTAGGGTTCGATTCCGGAGAGGGAGCCTGAGAAACGGCTACCACATCTAAGGAAGGCAGCAGGCGCGCAAATTACCCAATGAAAACAGCTTCGAGGTAGTGACGAGAAATAACAATACAGGGCATTTTATGCTTTGTAATTGGAATGATGGGAATGTAAAACCCTTCCAGAGTAACAATTGGAGGGCAAGTCTGGTGCCAGCAGCCGCGGTAATTCCAGCTCCAATAGTGTATATTAGAGTTGTTGCAGTTAAAAAGCTCGTAGTTGGATTTCTGTCGTGGTCATCCGGCGTCGCCCGTATGGGTGTGGGCCTGGCATGCCCTCGGCTTATTTCCGGTAGCCTTCCGCGCTTAATTGCGTGTGTTGGTGTTCTGGAACTTTTACTTTGAGAAAAATAGAGTGTTTCAAGCAGGCTTGTCGCCCTGAATACTGCAGCATGGAATAATAAGATAGGACCTCGGTTCTATTTTGTTGGTTTCTAGGACCAAGGTAATGATTAATAGGGACAGTTGGGGGCATTCGTATTTAACTGTCAGAGGTGAAATTCTTAGATTTGTTAAAGACGAACTACTGCGAAAGCATTTGCCAAGGATGTTTTCATTAATCAAGAACGACAGTAGGGGGTTTGAAGACGATTAGATACCGTCGTAATCTCTACCATAAACTATGCCGACTAGAGATAGGGAAACGCCTACCTTGGCTTCTCCTGCACCTCATGAGAAATCAAAGTCTCTGGGTTCTGGGGGGAGTATGGTCGCAAGGCTGAAACTTAAAGGAATTGACGGAGGGGCACCACCAGGCGTGGAGCCTGCGGCTTAATTTGACTCAACACGGGGAAACTCACCAGGTCCAGACATGGGAAGGATTGACAGATTGATAGCTCTTTCTTGATTCTATGG